TCTGTAGCTCTACATTTTCCCCCCATTCTAAACCCTTTATTTCCATCTTCCCTTGTGCAAAAACAGCTTTCCATTCTGAAACTTTTTATTTTCATCTAAATGAGGGTTTTTCCTCCTCGTCTTCTAAGTTCTTTTAACCCACACTGAAATTTCCGGGATTGTAAGATTCTAGATTTCTATGTGCATACAAGGGCTTCTTCGCCTTTAGGGAGTTGATTTTTGCCGGGTCTTTGTGAAGTTGGCCACTGCTGTTTGCTCTCCCTTCCACACCCAGCCCCAGTGTGATCTCAGTGACTGTGGTAGCCCTTTTAAGTTACTCTGGAAAACATGCCTCTGTCTGTTGCTTTCACATGACTTGACAGGAGGGAAAGAAAGGGTAGATGTAATGTCCGCCATCGAGATGATGGCGGAAGTCCCTTGTTTATTTCTGCTTTGCCACGTGATTGTTTTGTAATTATCTTGTAGAGGCAAGGATGAGATTTACTTTTAATCTCCCTGTAGAATTTGGCACTCGATGACTCCCATTTTCTAGAAACACGGGCTTCTAGAGGTTTGTTTTTCTAACCATTTTCTTAACTTTTCAGCCCCTCTTTTTACATCTCTTTGCAAATTACTCCCAAATGTATCTCCTCCATATTGGTGTCTTTCAGACCTCTGATGTAGTCCTGTTCTCTTTCCCTGTTTCTGTGGCGTTCTTAAACACTGTGTTGTCATTTAACATCCACGTGCTGATGGTTTAAATGCAGACCTTTAACCCAAACCACCGAGCTCCAAGCCTGTACACACCTCTAACCTCTCTTCCTTTACAGCTTGCTGGCACCTCAGCCTGGACTGTAGAACTTGTCCCCAGATCGCGTCCTGCAGCGTTCCTGTGTCATTTAGTGTGATGGCCGCGTCCTTGCTTCCTTAACCCAGAATGCTGGGAGTCATCCTTGACTGCACCCTCTGGCTCCTTACATTAGTCTCAAAACTCTACCAGTAATTCCCCATGAATACAGCCTGTGTTAATCCATTTCCCTCATTCCCAACTCACCATCCTGTTACAGACCGCCATCATATCCCACCTTGGCTGGTTCCTTGCCGCCAGTTTTGTACCTTTTCTTGACTGGCAGCCACATTGTGATATTTCCAAAAGACAGAGTAATCGTTCTCTCCACCACCCACAGCCCGACGGGTGCCTCCAACTCACCCCTATAAAGCTCCGCCCCCGGCCCTGCCCACTTGCCTTTGTTTTCTCCTGATTCCCCTTGCTCTACCTCAACTGTGAAATCAAGCCTATGATAACTGTGGATCTCCATGCTGAAGGGTATTTGCTTTAAAAAGAAAAAGAAAAAAGAAAAATACTATTTCTTGGATCGGTTTACTTAATCTAACTTTAAAAAAGTATTATTAATATTTTATCCCATAAAACTACTTCCAGCACCTGTATGATAATAAAATCTAAAAATCAAGAGAACTAACAAACATATCAGCTCTGACTGACAACTGCTCTCTGTAGCATCTATTTTCAGCTCTTGAAGGAGGTAAGACTGAGGGTACGAGTGTTTGCGAGGAAATGTCCGATTCATAAAATAGAATAAAAAGCAAATACTAATGAAATATGTCTGATTCTTCTATAAAATGTTGTCAGCCTAAAATTTATGTATTTGATATATGTCAGAACAGGAGAGATCTACTCTTTTAAGAGCAGACACTTTCAAGTATAGGTGTAAATTCTTTTCACATACTAATACTGGCATTCTTTTTATTGAATGTCACATGTCATTGCACACAGAAATTTTCTTAAATTTTCAGAGGCAGATAAGTCCATCAAGTATTTACAGCTGAGTGGAGGTGGGAAGTTTAGGCTTCATAAGCCACAGCACATCTGTATTTTGGCTGTGGACCAGCAAAGATAAAATAAGCAGTAATACTCTTGGAGTTTACTTCCGAATTCTCAAATACCGACAGAGTAGAGATGCATTCTGGTTTAGAAAAGCATCGTACAGAAAAGGCACTCCAAATATATTTTTCCATTCGCATTTCTCTGTAGTCCAATTTGCATGCTAAAATCTAAGCACGTTTTAAGATGTAGAAACATGTTATAATATTTATGGCTATGTTTATAATGACTTTTAACTTACTATTTGGTCTGTTTCCTTAAAGGATTTAAGATTCCTTCAGTCGCATGTATCACTGGGCACATACGCTGTGCTGGGCTGTATTCTTGGCATTTGGCCGTAGGGAATATAATGCGTGTGTGCGTGTACGTGGCTGGGTGTGCAACGGTGCGTGGTGTGTGTGTGCAGTGGGGGGAGAAATGCAGATAATACATAAAAACGAGTAAAGATGCATTGACTCTCTAATAAGAAAATTCCAGCAAGATAGGATGAAATGCCAAAAGAAAATACCGAGAGAACCTAAGAATATATACTTAATAACTATTTATTTTTCTTTCTTTTCTGACATTATAGTGGTGGAATTGGGTACAAAGCACCTCACTGATTTTATAGATATAAGTATGGTGTAAAGAAATAGGAGATCAACGCAAGATACTGGGAAAAAATGTTTAGTAAGTAAACATCTCTAACCAGAATGGAAGCAAGCAGCGTGAGAACTGTGCGTGTTACTTTAGTTCACGAGCCCGTTTCACAGTTTCAGTCACTAGCTCACAAAATGCTTTTCAAGTAAATAAACAAGTTCATAAATAGCAGAATGCTTTTAAAAGACAATCGGATGCTTGCGGGTAGTGGCCCAGTGCGCCCACCATTTTCAAGTAGCTTCTGTTAAAAGTTGAAATCGCTGATTCGGTAACTATTGGCCGCAAGTCTGCGGAGGCCAGGCCCGGGGTTAGCCCTGGGGAGGTGGCAGGGAAGCAAACACAAACAGCGTCTGAACCCAGAGAAGTCGGGATCCAAGACACGTACCGTTGCGAAGGGACGACAAGCCCTTCTCGGGTCAGAGCACCGAGCAGGGCCCCTGGCGACCCGCCTTCAGTAAGAACACCCAGCACGAGTCATTCTGCCTCGTGGTTTCAGCTCTTGGCCTTTCAAAGTGCTTTGGGTACATGATCTCATTGAAGCAAACGTGAAACTACCTTGCTGTCATCTTGTCACTGAAATGACGCGGTATCAAAACGGGACGATGAGTTGGTCTCTGTGATTGTCACTGGGGGGATCTTTTATGCAGGGACTGTCACCTTCCGGGGTGGCCCTGGTGGGTTTTATGGAAGTCATGTTTCCTCCCAGGCCCTGCGGGGTGATGAGGCCCCTGCCGGATGCTGGGGGGAGGAGCAATCCCTCCCGGGGGGGGGGGGGGGGGCCCAGGCAGGTCCTGGGGACACAGGAGAGGAGGGGCCAGGGCCCCTGCCGCTCCTCTCTGGCTCCCCCTCCCCGCGCCTGCCCTGCACCCGTGGGCCTGCGAGCCAGGAGAGCTGCCTTGGGGGACGGAGCTCGGCCCCAGCGGGTGGTTTGCTTTGTGTGAGCCCCTTGGGTCCTTTACTCCTCCACCTCTTCAGAGAATGCATGGTTCTCATTTTATGCTCTTCCTTCAAGAATCCCTTTTGGAAAAAGTTCAGACAGGACGGGCTTGCCTCGGGGGAGCTCGCTGCAGTGGGCGCACCCTCAGCAGTTGTGCTTAGGAATGAGAGAGCCTCACCAGCGACCCGTCTACCGCGCGGCCCCTTTCAGAAATCCCCAGGGAGCGCTTTCCTTAAACTCAGTCCAGGACAAGTTTTTTCCTTGAGCTTCTGGCATATTGTCCTGTGGACTCTGGATTCGATTCTTGTTTCCCTTTTTGCTACGACCGAGGCGAAGCTTGGGGACGCGTGTGGTCAAACAGGACCAATTATACGGGAGCACTTTTTATACTATTTTATTTCTATATTTTTAAATTTTTAATGTTTATTTATTTTTGAGAGGGAGAGAGACAGAGGTGAGCTGGGGAGAGGCAGAGGGAGGGGGAGACACAGAATCCGAAGCAGACTTCAGGCTCCGAGCTGTCAGCACAGAGCCCGACGCAGGGCTCGAACCCGTGAACCATGAGATCATGACCTGAGCTGAAGTCGGACGCTTAACCGACTGAGCCCCCCAGGCGCCCCTGTACTATTTTAGACCACCAGTTTCACTTTGCTATTCTCTACGTATGTTACCATTTCCCTAAACTTCTTTTCAATTACTATATGCCATTTTACTTATCCCCTCCCTCATTTCTTAATCTGGCCTTAGGGTTCACGGTTTGTCTTAATATTTACACGACAGTGAGAAACCCAGTGGCTTTACGCTGTGAATTCAGAGAGAGAGGAGTATTTATACCCTCTCAGGGGTGTCTGTCCTGAAGCCCCGTGTTCTGTCACAGAGATTGGGTCCCCACCTGCTGACCCATTTTCTGTAGCTGCTGGCTGCACCCTTCCTGGGGCTCTTACACACAGCAGCCCCGTCACCCCCCTGGGGAGCCTGAGGGGTCCCGGAGGAGAGTTCACGTGCTGAGCAGAAACCACTTCTACTTGAATATTACAGAGGCATGTGGCCAAGTTCCTTGACCGTGTCCGGGAAAGGTTATGTCTTCTGTTGCCCAGCGCGCTGGGGAGGGGCCTCCTTCCCCTGATGCCCTTCCCTAAACTCTCCCCCTGCGATCTCCCTCCACTCTGGGAGGCGAGAAAAAACTGGACCGTTTGTGTTGTGTATCATTCAGAGACATTTGGTTCTTTTTTTTTTTTTTTTTTTTTTTTTTTGGCCTCCAACTCTGCCATGCAGTCCGGGCTGGATGATGAAAATTGCTGAAATGCACAAGAATAAAAGAAAACGCAGAACATTTCTTACGAAGTGTTTGCCCTCAGGTTCCTGTATCCGATGGTTAACGTGTCAACCACAGCTGAACAAGCAGCGGAGCGCCCCGATGTGTCTTCTTCTCCTCTTTTTTTTTCCTTAAAGATGAAATTCAGCTCTTCATTTCAGGCATGGTTTAGCCACTAAACAGAGGTGAAAAGCTGCTTTTCTCACAAGTTACTCTCTCCATGGCAGGATCTTACACGTTCGTTCCGTGGCTGCTCAGCTTCAAGAGAGGAAGGGCGCTGGAAGAAAAGGAAAATAAAATTCTGGTGAAGGAAACCGGTTACTTCTTTATATATGGGCAGGTAGGTTCAGTGCCCAACCTGCACCACCGCCCAGTGCCCCCTTGTTGTGCTCACTTCTGACAGAGTTCTTTGGTTTGTTTCTCAGGTTTTATACACCGATAACACCTTTGCCATGGGACACCTAATACAGAGGAAAAAAGTCCATGTCTTTGGGGACGAACTGAGTCTGGTGACTTTGTTCCGATGTATTCAAAATATGCCTGAAACACTACCCAATAATTCCTGTTATTCAGCTGGTAAATAACAGTTCTGTTAAATAGACAGAGAGCGTCCTCAATATGCTGTGTGCTTTTTATTCTCTTGACTGATGAGCTAGGTCCTTTTAATCCAAGCAGAAAAAAACCGTGACTAAAAGTTTTGTCATGTTTATACACTGAGAGAGGGTACTACTGTCATCGCAGTGAACACTGAGAGCTCTTCTAAACTGCATTTTCCTCAGCAGGTACTGCCGTGTAGTAACAACGGCAGTGCTCATAGAACGACACACCAGCCGGTCCGACCCCAGCGTGTGAGCGTCTGAAGTGTTGTTGTTGTTGTGGTTTTTACTGTGCTGGAGAAGAACGCCCTGGCCGGTTTGAGGGTCTGGTCCAGTTGCGCAGTGGCCTTCTGTCGGCCTCATATAGGTGACGTCTGGCGGGAACGGACAGCAGACAGATGACTTGGGGACGTGAACGTGTAGGCACAAGCCTCTTGCAGCCACAGGCAGTGAAGACGTGGAGGGAAGGAGAAGGGGCGGGATTTGTTCATTTCAGGCCTTTGGGCTGTAGCTGCCACCGCAGTCTTCATTTTATTGTGGGAGTGAATTCATCAAAGTCGGTATTAGCGGGGGGGAAAACCCATATTTGCCTTAAACACATTGATGCCTCCTGGTGGTTTTGAACAAACACTGAGAACCCTGAGGAATGTCTTCAGTTCCAGACAGTGACCATGAAAGACAGCATGAAACACAGGCCCGGGGATCAGCCGCCCTGTTTGAAGCACTCAGTTGCAAAGGCACAATAACACAGATAGGAAGGAAGGAAAATGTTCATAAAAATGGAGACGATCGTCATTCTGGGTCCACAGCCTTAAATAGCCATAATGGGTTGATGAGGAAGTGTGTTAAATTGAAACTCCCTAATTTTCATAAAGAAAAGTTCCCCTGTGCCCAGCGATGACCAGGGTAAATGGCCAGGCCGCCCCGGTCTGTGCTGTTCATTTGCAGCAGTAATTGCGGCTTCTCGAGCTGCTCTTTGAGGCTTTCCGGTTGCCCACCCCTCGGTGTTCACGTTCTCGGCCACACTTCCTAGGTGCCTGCTTCTTACGAGTAATTAACTAGACCTCAGCAAAGGTAGAGCTGTGTCTCAATGCCGTTAGCATAGTGTTATCTATGAGAACCATTCTCTAGGACACTTCGGGTTTGCAATTTTAATCTGCTCTACGGCAAAGCTGTTTAAAGCCATGAAAAACCACATATTAATATAGAAGTGCACGAAGCCCTTCCGTACGTAATAACCTGGAAAATAGGTAAATGGTCCATTCGAGGAGCCAGGCATAAGGCCAAGCACCCGTTTTACACAAAGCGGGACCTTGTTACTGTTTCACGGACAAATTGTGTATATCTGTTGTAGAAGAGGCTACGACTCGATTGCCACAATCTGGAAGAACCGAAATAGCCAGTAGCTCAGGGTTAGAATTTTAAACCGAACCCGCTTGAAAATAGTTCACGCTGACGTTATTTTGAGAGTTAATATTACGTAATGCTCTGTAATCAATAGCCTTATCTTCAGTCTTTATAGCCACTGACTTATTCAACAAATAAATTCCTATTTTTTTCTTTTTACTATTTAATGTAGTCATCAAATGCTTTGCTAATCCTAGAAAGTGTACACATTACCCTTCAGAAAACCTGAAACTATGTTCTTCTGTTTGTTCTCTGTCTTAGTCTATTACAAAACACAAACACAAAAACAAACAAAAAATCAAGATCCTTAGAGATGGAATCTTTTGTCATTCTGATCACAGCTCTGTGCATGTCTAACAAGGTAGCTGGTACATCGTTAAGTGCTCAGTAAATAAATACTGGCTGTCACCGAGAAGATCTGGGTGCTTTGAGTTTGATGATAGATGTTAACATACATAGTGCATATAAGTACATTTTCCATGCTTATTCATGAAAACGCAACTACTTTTTAAGTTGTTGGTTGAAAGTATTAACAATTTTGATATTATTTTGTTTGTTACTTTCCTTGTTCCTTCTCCTCCTTCCTTTTCCTTCCTATTTCCCTTTTAACGTGGAGTCCATATTGACGTACTTACTGAGTGTAGTTCCCAAATTGTGTTTTGTATTCCTCAATCACGGGACACATCGTTGTAAATTAGGCACACACAGATTTATTGGTCAGTTTTGAGAAGCTAAGTACTTTCTTACTTTGATTATAAAGACAGATATGGTCATTTAATAAAACGTGAAATTTAGAAGGCTATAAAAAATAATCCAAATGAGTCCTAATCCTGTGGTCTGGACTGTAGAGAAAACTCTGTTAACCGATGGGCTCTGTAATAAATGGTATTTTGTTTTTTATTTTAACAATATATACATTGTATGTGCACATTTAAGTGTGTACGCGCATTATATACATACTGCTTAGTGTGTATGTCGTTTTTTCTATTTCTATTTTTGTATTTTTACTTAACATTATTATAAACAGTTTTCTTTGCCAGTATAGTGAAGCAAAACCACTTTTAACCATATAATATCCCATCAAGACGACGTGCTATGATTTACTTAACTTTTTTCTTACAACAGGACATTGGTTTCTATTTAGCATCTCCATTCTATAGGCAGTAGGTGATACATTTATATCTGTTATCATTCTTTCTGCTCATTCTCTTTGGCTTTTGTTTTTGTTTTTGTTTTCTGGCTGGTGGAATGGTGTAACTGGTTACGAAGTCTCCTGGTGTGAGTTGAGGTGTGAATGCCGATGTTAGCATTTTACCAAAATGACATAGTTTTATTTAATGTGCTCCCCCCACCCCCACCCAACGCATTGTACAACCACTTAAAGTCCCTGTAAATCACTGTTTTCCAGGCATCGCAAAGCTGGAAGAAGGAGATGAACTCCAACTGGCAATACCACGTGAAGATGCTAAAATATCACGAGACGGAGATGGCACGTTTTTCGGAGCATTGAAACTTCTGTGACCGACTTGTCCCTTATCCGTGGCTCTATTCCTCCCTTTCTCTGTACCTCTACGGAGAACACACTTAACTGGAAATACCAAAGGAAGAAAACCAGTAGTAGCTTTTCTGTGAGCTATTTGTTTTGATTTGCTGAACCTTGACCAAAACAGGAAATTTAACAGACAGCCACAGCCGAGGGGTGTCATGTGAATTACAAGAAATAGAACCCGTTTGGGGAAAGATAGAAGTAGACGTCTCCCTCTAAGGCCGTGTCGAACTACTTAGTCATCGCGGCTTGGCTTGTAGGAAGCACAGGTTGGAAAGGGGCAATAATCATTTCTTCAGGAACGACATCCCATTGTACTCCACGGACAAAGTGCCCGTGTCTGTACGATATTAATTGAGACATTTTGGGGCATCTCAGGATTCATCCCCGCTCTTTATGTCAATTCTGCCCCCACCTCCTCTTCCAGTTAACATTATAGGAAGTGAGAAAAAAAAAAAAAACAACTTAGAGAAATCTTGCATTTGACACATAAAAAAAGTACTTAAATAAACCTTCCATTTAAATGTATTAAACAGTTGGACTTAAAATAAAATACAAGTGCTATTTAGAGTTTTTTTGGTTTATTTCAAACTTGCAGTTTTTAATCTATAATATTCCGTATTACCTGATGGAACACCAGATATTTTTCACAGGAGGGAAATAATTCTCTCATGTGTCTACACTCACCGCATATTTTTTCTAGCTTATCCAGTCACTTCAGAAACTTTCACTGCAGGGTAATTCCAATCCCTATGCATATAAGCATTCAGTGAAAAAAAATACCTATAATTGTTTGTCTATAAAAATAAAATCTCCATTAGAAGTTAATGAATGCATTCATAATAATGGGATGTATTTTCCCTTTCTCTCCTGTTCTTCTCTTTTATTTTTTTTTAAATGTTTTTTATTTATTTGTAGGAGAGAGAGAGAGAGAGAGAGAGAGAAAGAATGAGCAGGGGAGGGTCAGAGAGAGAGGGAGTCACAGACTGAAACAGGCTCCAGGCTCTGAGCAGGCAGTCAGCACAGAGACCGACGCGGGGCTCGAACCCACGAACCACGAGATCATGACCTAAGCGAAAGTCGGACGCTTAACCGACTAAGCCACCCAGGCGCCCCATGTTCTTCTCTTTTAAACTGCGGCTAGTATCCCAGCCTTTAAAAGAAAGCACTCATGTTATTAGATTTACAGAAGTGGAGGCTTCATTAAAGTTCTTGGCACCTCAGAAGGACGTGATGTGCCGTGTGCTCATGAAACAGATCCTGATAATGCCAGGGATGCTGTCCTCGTTTTCATCTAATAGGGAATCACATTTGCAGATGGCGGCATAACCATCTTCATAATATCAATCACCCTCGGTTCACCTGTCTTCTTAAAAATGTCACTGGTATAGGGGCGCCTGGGTGGCTTAGTCGGTTAAGCATCCGACTTTCGCTTGGGTCATGATCTCGCCGTTCGTGGGTTCGAGCCCCGCGTCGGGCTCTGTGCTGACTGCCAGCTCAGAGCCTCAGCCTGTTTCAGTCTGTGACTCCCTCTCTCTCTGACCCTCCCCTGCTCACGCTGTCTCTCTCTCTCTCCTAGAAATAAATAAAACATTAAAAAAAAAAATTAAAAAAAAAAGATTTGATTTGGAAATAGAATATCTGATTAAAAAAAAAATGTCACTGGTATAAATTCATTCAACAATTTCCTTCTCTAGTTTAAATAGTAGATGGGAGAATAGACCGTTGGCTACAATAATTTTCTCCAGTCTTAAATGTTTTTACCAAGATGCTTTTCAAAACAGAACAAACAATGATCTGGATTTTGTGTCCAAGATTAAATTTTCTCTAGAACTCTGATTTCTACAATTTTGGCTTTGTTGTTTAAAATAAAATATTTTGCAACTTACTTCATTTTACAGTATTAGAATTACAAAGTGTACGCAGAGCACGAGTCCTGATCAAGGAGGTGAGTCATTTTTCTGGTGTTGCTGCTAACGTGAGTCACCAAATAAAAATCTTCAGCGCCTTCTGCCTGGCTTTTTTGTGGAATTTGGCTGACACTGCCCGTCGTTGGGTTTCTCCCCATGTACTAAATGTCATTTTAAAAATTCAGGCATTTGGAGCACCTGAGCGGCCCAGTCGGTTGAGCCTCCCACTTTGGCTCAGGTCATGATCTCGCTGTTCCCAAGTCTGAGCGCTGGCAGCTCAGAGCCTGGAGCCTGCTTCAGATTCTGTGTCTCCCTCTCTCTCTTCCCCCACCCTGCCACTCATACTCTGTCTCTGTCTCTCTCTCTCTCAAAAATAAATAAACATTAAAAAAATTCAAAATTCAGGGCATATTCCTAAAACATGATAAAGTAATATGTGTTAAGGTATGAAACAAAGTGTTTGAAATTATGAACATTTTACATATTTCGAAAAGGATTTGTTCACACCAATACTATATATATAAAGACATAACTTGAGTATTTCTTGGAGCATATCGTTAAAGAAGATCGTGCTACCAATCCACAGGCTTGCACACCAAGCTATGGGGATCGACTGCAGACTCCCCTGGTCTTTGATGACTTTCCATCATTTAGCAGCAGGTGCAGAACTCAGCACATAAACTATCCTTACAGTTTAAACCAGCCTTGAAATGCGAATCCTGTCTTCCTCCAGCATGAACTTGCATGGAAAGTGAGCCTGGTTCAGGGAGCGTATTTAGCAGTGAGGACGTGGGTCGGAGGTGAGGTAACACAGTGGTGTTGCGGGGGGGGGGGGGGCTCCCCACTGCAACGCACCTGTTTACTTTGCTGCCCGCAGTTTACTTGAAGGAAAATGATGTTCTACTGGAATTTCCTGTAACAGAGTGTTTCCAAGCTTAAAAGTGTATGGGCCCAGCCCTGATACTCTGGCCTTAAACGCCAAGTCAGGAATCATGCTGGTAAATAGCTACTTGAGGGCGTGGACTTGCTGTCTGTGCCGGACGGAGGAGCCAGCAGCCAGCCAGCCTCCACGGCCAGGTGCCACGCAGCCCACCTGACACCTGCGCAGATCAGCTGGACTTCTCGGCCGTTGTGCGGAGAGGGGCCTGCCCGCCTGGTTTGTGATGGGGACCGCTGCTGACTCAGAGAGGACCTCATAGTAATACTCATAGTAATTTGGGGTAGGAATCCGCCTTGCTCACGCGAGGGGGAGGGTTGTAACCCCTGAACAGCACAGCAGGGCCGGCAGCGGGCATGTTTGTTTGCTTTGGCTCCCATGTTGCTTTACAGTCTTTGACTCGCTTGCTAATACAGACATCTAAGCTCACTACATGAAACAGGACATTTAAGCTTCCTTTTGAAATACAGAGGTTTTATTTTAAAACATGCATGCAATAGGGTGCGAAACCTCGGGGATGCAGCTTGCTGACACGCTTTTACAAAGCAGACATCCCCCGGTGGCCACCCCCAATGTAAACATGGAACTCTGCTAGCCACCCCCCCCACCTTCGTGCTCCTCCCCGGTTTTGAAGGTCAGTGCCATTTTGACTTTCATCATGAAAGAAAGCCTATGCCTTTTTTTTTAATTTTTTTAAATGTTTTTTATTTATTTCTGAGAGAGAGAGACAGCATGAACAGGGGAGGGTCAGAGAGAGGGAGACACAGAATCTGAAACAGGCTCCAGGATCTGAGCTGTCAGCACAGAGCCTGATGCGGGGCTTGAACCCACGAACTGTGAGATCATGACCTGAGCCGAAGTCGGATGCTTAACCGACTGAGCCACCCAGGCGCCCCAAGCCTATGCCTTTTTAAATGTTTTACAAATGGCATCGGTGGGACGCAATCTTTTCTACACGCTGCCTGCCTTCCCAGCTCCCCGCCTAGCCCGTGAACAGCTCCCATGCGGTTGCAGGTGTTGCTCATTCCCTTCACTCCTGAATCCATCATCTGCATCCATTTTACTATTGAAGGGCCTCCAGTTGGGGGCTCTTGTGACTTCTGATTCTGTGACTATTCTCTGACGTGTTTGGGGGAAACCCACGTACATACTTCTGTTGGGCTGATACCTAGAAGTCGAATTGTTGTGACACAAGATGTGCCTACGTTCAGCTTTCGTAAATCTTGCCGAAAAGATTGCTGAGTGAGAAACGGGTATGAGAAAAGCAGACGGAACCAGGCTACTGGGGGCAGCGGGGACCTGGGCTGGTTTCTGAGTACCCGCTGCCCAGACACGCACTTGGCCACAGACCCCGCTCCTATCCCGGCCCACCTGTCATCCGTCTGGCCCTCTGTCAGGAGGCCGGCGACTTTCAAATATAGTTGATCCTGATTGGCTGTGGGCACATTCATTTTCATAACTTAGTTCTGTAAATTTACATAAATTGGATTAACTTTTGTTAAAGGGGAAGCGTCCATGATCCCTGGTCCTGCTGATAATCAGGGCAAATTCTCCTCCTGGGCTCCAGTGAAGCCACAAGCTGGGGTCATCTCTGCTCAGCCTCGCCCAGACCGCCTTCGAGGCCTGGTTTGAGGTTGTCTTTGAGGTCCTCACCTTCATCATCATCCTTACTCAAGTCGACTAAGTCTTTCGTTATTTAAAAAATGGTGCAATGAAATTATGTTCAAGACCGCTTAGAAATAAAGATAAGGAATGAAGCTCTGCCTGCTGCCAATTTTGTGTCCACCTCTTCATTGTTTGAAGCAGAGAGACAACGAACCCTGGGTATTGTGGTGAAAATTCCTGCAACATTATGCTGGTGTGATCCTTACCAGTGCTTAGGATGATATATTTAGAATATAGGACACTTCACGGGGCACCTGGGTGGCTCAGTCAACTGGCAGGAGATGATTCCTCAGCCGGCGGGGCTGCTTGGAAACATCTTGTTCAAGGGGACTGGATGACTCATTTGGTTGAGCGTATGACCTTAGCTCAGGTCATGATCTTGTGGTTCATGGGTTTGAGCCCCACATCAGGCTCCTGGAGCCTGCTTCAGGTTCTGTGTCTCTTCTCTCTGCCCCTCCCCTGCTCACACTCTGTCTCTCTCAAAAATAAATAAACATTAATTGTTTTAGAATATAGGACACTTCATTTTGTGAATGTGAAAAACTGTTAGGCGGGAGCTCCCTTCTACTTGCTAGATGAGATGCTGCCTGAATCATTTCATAAAGCAAATTAGATCTTAACACATAAATGAATAAATAAACAAATAAAAGATGTTAGGCAATTTATTTTGTTTTATCTCATGCTACAATCACACACTGGATTTATTTTTTTTAAGTTTATTTATTTATTTTGAGAGAGAGAGAGAGTGCAGATGGGCAGAGAGAGAGAGAGAGAGAGAAAAAGAATCCCAAGCTGGCTCTGAACGGTGAGCACAGAGCCAGACACGGGGCTCAAACCCACAAACTGTGAGATCATGACCTGAGCTGAGATCAAGAGTCAGAGGCTTAAGCAACCGAGGCTTCCCGGTGCCCCCACACACTGTGTTTAAAACTAGTCACCAAGATAGGAACTCTGGGCGAGGAGAGAGGGCCGAGCCCCGTCTGCTGGAGGAATGGCTGATACCGTGCTATGAGGACTGTCCGTCTAGACCACCCAACAGCTAGTCATTCTGGAGGAGT